TCAAGAAAGACACCAAAAATCATGAAAATTGGTGATACTGTTTAGCCCAGGAATCCCTAAAAGGGATGTTATTTTTAAAAAGCTCGTGATTTTTAAAACAGCTTTTTTATTTTTTAAGCCCATGTGATTTTTTACATTACACCTACATGTTGTAAGTGACAATCCCTGCCCCAAGGAGTGACAGTCTACATAGACAAGGCACACAAAGAATGGAAGGGGCAACAGAGAGATTATGTGACTTGCCTAAGGCCTTGCAGCAGGTCAGTGGCAGAGCAAGGAGTTGAACCCAGGGTTCTACCGGAGTGCCCAGTACACTGGCCTCCCTGCCTCTAACCTTAGGGCATGTTTACACTAGAAAATTATTTCAAATTGACATCATAACTCCCGATTAACAAAATCAAAATAGAGTGTCCCCACTACAGGGAAGCCTTGAAATTAATTAGAATTATTCCGAAATAGTGCATCCACACTGTATGTGGAGACTACTGTGGACTTAGAGCCCCTGGAAGCCTGCTGGGGAGGGCACCAGAAGGGCAGAGACTTCTTGTGGCTGCTCGGTCAGGCAAACTGTGACACGTGCTTTTGGGGGCTCCTCTCTATGGCTGTGTCTCACACGCTCTTTCACGGTCTCCCTGCCCCCATGGGACACAAAACAGACTCAGTGTTGCCCCTGTGGATGCCACAGCACTCATGCTATGGAGCTGGAGGTGCTTCAAAGCAGAGGTAGGCTCAGTCTGTCCACGTCACTCGCATGCTGCTCCAGCAGGATGAGGATCAGGACCTGCAGGATGAACCGCAGCCCAGACTGCAGGCCCTGATCACCCAGGTCCGGGCACTCCTGCTGCTGCGCATGCCTCTCAATCCCCTGGACACTGCAGAACACCACTTCTGGCGGCGGGAGACGAGCTCGGACTGGCGTGACTGCAACGTCATGCAGGGATGGGACGACCAGCAGTGGCTGCAGAACTTCCGCATGCAGAAAGCCACCCTCCTGGAGCTGTGTAAGTAGCTCGCCCCGGCCCCCAGGTGACAGGACACCTGACTGAGACCTGCCATTATTTTGTTTTCTGGTGTGGAGATCCTGGAGGTTGGTCTCCTCCTCCCAGACCTGAATGAGGTCCAGGATCTCCGCACCAGTCTAAGCCGCAGCTCTCCTGTGTCCCAGCATGAGTGCTGGCAACTGGGGGAGGATCTGAGGGAGCGTTGGGGTCACTCCTGGCTTGCTTGCTGCTGCATCCCACATGGCTCTCTACTCTCCAACGTGGGACAAGTTGCTGGGAGTTGTAGGCTCTGCAGGAGAAGGGGCATAGTGGAGATGCCAGGTGTGGCCAGACCAGTTAGAGCTGCAGCTGTGAGAGGCCTCCAGAAGCCAATCATTTTGAATGAGCAGTAGCGGATCGTCCACACGAATGCTATTTCAAAATAACTATTTCGAAATTAGTGTTGCTCCCCGAAGAAAGCAGGAGTACAGATTTCAAAATAACCAGTGTGGATGCCCCGCTTATAAATTTGACCAAAGGGGTTATTTCGAAATAACTTCCTAGTGTAAACCAGGGCTGTGTGTTTCGGGACAAGCTAATAAAGCAAGTGAGAGAAAGGCAGCTCTAGTGTCATATGGTGCCCTCAGATTTCCCTGTGACAGCCAGGCCTGGGTAAGCTATGGTGCTGCCAACACCATGTTGGGGATTGCTAAGATCCAAGCCTCCTGCTCTCCTCCTCAATTTGCCTTTTGCTATCTGCAGATCGTGAGCTTTTGATTTGTATTCATAGCACAGGACTGTCCTGGACTCACCAGGAATTACAAATAAATTAAAGATTTTGCCATGTGAGAAAGCCTCCAAGAATGCGTCCTACTGAAATTGTGATAGAGATGCAGCCATGTTAATGCATCTGACGAAGTGGGTCTTTGCCCACGAAAGCTTATGCTCCTACACTTCAGTTAGTCTATATGGTGCCACAGGACTCCTCACCGCAATTTCAGTGGGAGAAACAAAAGACAGAACTATGTAGCACTTTAAAGACTAACAAGATGGTTTAATAGGTGATGAGCTTTCGTGGGCCAGACCCACTTCCTCAGATCAATATGTGGAAGAAAATTGGCAAAATCTTCCACATATTGATCTGAGGAAGTGGGTCTGGCCCACGAAAGCTCATCACCTATTAAACCATCTTGTTAGTCTTTAAAGTGCTACATAGTTCTGTCTTTTGTTTCTCCCACTGACTTATAGACTAACTGAAGTGTAGGAGCATAAGCTTTCGTGGGCAAAGACCCACTTCGTCAGATGCATGTAGGAAGTGGGTCTTTGCCCATGAAAGCTTATGCTCCTACACTTCAGTTAGTCTATAAGGTGCCACAGGACTCCTCGCCGCTTTTGCAGATTCAGACTAACACGGCTACCCCTCTGATACCTACTGAAATTGTCAGTCTTAGGCACATCTGCCCAGATCATGGCAAAGGGGCAACATTTTCTGTGGGCAATCAGACTACAGTGGCATCTCCTGCTGTTGTGATCACCCAGGAGGCTGCAAGAGCAGGAAAGTTATGAAAAAGCTCAGTGCAGACAATGTGTTAGATTTGATAACTGAATCTGAAGCTTTCCCAAAACCTCACCCCAAAGAATCCCTTCATAGGTCAGCTATGCAGAAATCACAAGGGCAGCTCAGTGCTCCAGTCCAACCTCTTCTCTCCATCCTGTGCCATATTTCGGACTAACTTTGACCTCCTCCTTGGGAGCAGCTGACTTAATATGTGCTCAGACAAAGAATACAAGTAAAGATCCACATTTAGGAGAGTGATTTGGTCTGATAAAGTCAAGGCAACTCAAAAGCCAGCAGCAAATGAGAAAGAAAGAAGGCGTGAAATTCCCAGCATGAGTCATTTTGATTTTCTAGCCTCCCCTAATTCCTAGTAGACACATACTGGCAAAAGGAGTCAGGGAGAGAACTAAGATGACGTAAGCACTGCCTCTTAGTAAACGGAACTTGGTTATCCAAGATTACAAGTATTGCACAGCTGACCGAGTGTGGCTAAACATCACTGCCCTGCAGAAGTGGGAAAAATGAGTGAGATTTTTTTCACGTCTGGATTTCATGCAGTTCTGGACCCTTTGAAATATGGATTTTTCCACTTCTCATCACATTTCAGGAACAAAACTTTCCTGTAGAGTGAACAACCTGAAAAATCGCAAAGTCCCCACAAAGGACTTTAAAGCCTCCAGAGACAATTGTGATGATCTAGTCTGGCTGCTTCAGTAACACAGACCATAGAACTGCTGCAGCGGAAGGAATGCTCCTTTCCTGCGGTGTGAGTTAATTTTCTAGTCTTGCTGACTTAGAACAGATATTTTAGAAAAATGTCCAACCTCTATAAAAGGTCTTTTCCTGAAGGATTCGTGTTTATAATAAGAAATCAAAACAAGTTTTCAAAACAGCGGAAGAAAAGGAAACAGGAACATGGTCGAGGTCAGTCCCACAGCTCAGGGAATTCAGAGAGGCACTTTGTTCCCCCTGCCCCCCTTCTTCTGTGGGAAGGCTGGAAGAAGCTAAGTTGATGTTAACCGCTTGGTTCCCCAGGGGCCAGGTATTGCCCATCCCCATGTCACAAGTGCTGGTGCATGAAAATAAGCCCTTGTGAATTCTGTAAGCAGCAACCCCTCGTTCAACATTCACAAGTGGCGATTGTGGCTTTTGTGCAAACTTTCATCGGGCAGTTTCAAATTTTCCACAGTCACTCCAGTGGCATCTGAAATGCTTTGCAAACTCACACACAGACAGACCTCCCTGGCAAAGTTCCCACCACACTGGAGTAGAATCCTTCACCCCATTCTCCTGCCTCTGCAGCCAGCCAAATGTTTATTGAACTCCAGCTGTTAGTGACGGACTGAAACCAGGACACTTCAGTCTAGGGATGTAAGCGACTAGTAGACTAGTGATGTGACTAGTCACTTCCCCCCCGCCCCTTGCTGCCTCTATCAGAGAGAGACAGCAAGCGGGGAGGACACAGGAGCTCGTGCTGAGGGGAGCCAGCTTAAAAGCTAGTTCCCCCCCAGCACTGTCTCTGTGGGGGGCAGGGGAGGTAGAGGAACTGCGGGAAGTGGCGCGAGTGGGGACTGAAGCAGTCTCTGCTCACGCTGGTTCTGCTGTGATTCTTCTTTTGAAATGTACAAGATCCCCAGTGGGACACTTGTATATTTCAAAGACTCAGGCGCCGCAGGGAGCACGGGGCCAATCCCCTGTTGGCCTCGCGCTCCCTGCGGGGCTTCCGCTTTTGAACTGTAGTTCAAAGGTGGAAGCGCCCTTATTGACTAATTGATAGCTCATCGATTATTCGATTAGTTAATCTACATTTAACATCCCTACTTCAGTCTTAATCAATATAGAGTCCTTTTCCACCTCTCTTCCTTCTCCCCACCTGTTTTCTCCTCTGAGTAGTCTGAGCACAGGACTGGGAGCCAAGAGATCCCCATGTCCTTCCCTGTGACCTTGGGCAGATCCCATAAGACCTGAATTTGCACCATGAAAACCAGTGGGAGTTTTGTCACTGAATCCCGTACTGCCATTTCTTCAGAGCTGCTGAGCATTCGCCGCTCCCATTGACTTTGGCTAGAGCTGGGAATGCTCAGCATTTCTTCTTCAGTTAGTCTATAAGGTGCCACAGGACTCCTCGTCGCTTTTGCAGATTCAGACTAACACGGCTACCCCTCTGATACTCAGCATTTCTGCAGAGCATGTTGTTACTCTTTCTGCCTCAGTTTCCCCAATACACAATGGGGGAGAATAATACTTTTAGGCCCTGTTTCAAAGTAGCACATAAGCATCTGGCTGACTTGAACCAAGTGCTTCATGGCCTAAGCATCTGCCCGAACATCATCCCACACAAACACCCATCCTTATTCGACAAAACACTTCAGCATGTGCTCCCCTGGAAGAATTCTAGTGCTTCACCACCTTCAAGTACCAGTACAGTAGTTTGCTTTCCCCAGGTTTCCTACCAGTCTCACCTTGTTAACTCCCTGTGGGAAGGGAGTTAGGTGTTTCCCAGCCAGTACAGGTAGCTTCTGCCCCAGGAGTGCAGACACACCCTGGGTATTTCTCACAACTGTTGCTTTGCTTTGACGTCCCCTCTGGTAAATATTGACCTTCCTTTCACCTCCGTCAATATTTACCTCTCGGGTTAATAAATGTGGAGATTTATGTCAGTCCAAGTGAATGTGTTCTAAGCTATTGCTGATCTCTGCAATTGTTCATTACTTCGCCCTCGGGACTTATACACAGGAAAGTTGCAGTTCAAAATGTGGGCACAATTCTGAAAATCCCAATGCATTCGAGTGCACTTACTCCTATCAACCCAACTGAACTCACTGATCTCACTCAACTGAACTCCGCTGAACTCAGCAACGCTACTCAGGAGAGTAATTACTAGGGTTTAAGTGTATGCAGGATCAAAACCTATTGTTGCATTGCACTTCATCAGGAGTTACCATGGCTCAGAAAAATAAACATGTGCAATTTTAAAGCCACGTTATTTGCTTGAAAGGTCACATTCATGTCTCTTGCATGAACATACACAACCCAGGCCTGATTTACCCTGAGGGAGAAAGTCGATCTAAGGTATGCAACTCCAGCTATATGGATAGCATAAATGGAGTCAATGTACCGTACGTTGAATTTCTATGGTGTTCCCACTGTGAGAGATCGACAGGAAAAATTCTCCCATCGATGTACCTCACTCCTCATGACCCCATAGAGTACTAGGGTCAACGGGGGTGCCGTCAGCAATCAATTTAGCAGGTCCTTCCTAGACCTACTAAATCAAACCCAGAGAGATCACTCTCCGGAGTGTCGATCTCCAGGCAAGTATAGACCAGGCCTCACAGTGGGCCCGGATCAGATCTATGTTGGGGACTGATTGTGCAACATCTCTCCATTGTGGGGTGTTTACACTATCCTCTGAAGCCCCTGGTTATAGCAACAATTTGAGACAGAACACTGGACTATATGGACCCTGTGTTTGAACTTGTGTGGCCCTTGGGGACCGAGGCTCTGATCCAAAGCCCACAGGCAGCACGTGAGTGGCACTTGTGCATGTCACATCTGACAATTTAACACCAAATAATGGGGGAAGGGGGAAAGGCAAGTGGATCTGCCTATCAGGAAACACTTGCCACAGGTGAGTTCTGTTTGAAGATGGATAGTCTCTGAGGGGAAGTAGTGGATGCTCCATTGCTTACAAATTTAAAGTCAGGCTAGACAAAGAACTGGAAATATACTATCTATCCGCTTCATTCATCTCTCTTTGATAACAAATATTTAATTGACTTCTATAAGCATGACAATGGGCCTTAGCTTTCTAAACTGATCTCCCCAGCTAATCCTCAGTATACCTAGATAGCGTGTCCATCCCTGTGAAATCTAAGCACTGTAGGCAACACAGACAAAATGTTATCTAGGTCTTTTCCATCTTACTCTTTAATAGACCAATTTTGATTCATCTGTGTTTCATTCCTTTCTGAGCCCCCCAAAGTATGCTCAGTCTATGCCTTGACTTCCATAGACTTGCTTTACTTACAAACCTCAGTGGTGAGTTTATTGATCAGTGCACAACCAAATCCCTTGGACTGCCCTCATAACAACAGCTGTGAGCCTGCAACGGTGCTGTGCTCCTTTGAGGCGGAAACAAACAGATTTTTCTCCCGGTGGCAAGAACAATATTTTCAGACAAGCAATTTTTTAAAAGAAAACTCGAAGCATAATCACCCAATAAAGTGCTTAGGAAACAGGATCCCTGAGGTCTGGCTTTGTCAGGCAAGCTAGTTATTAAAGTTTAACAAATGTCACCAACATTCTATTTCAGCAAGTCTGCATCAGCTACCATAGATCTAGAGCTGTTCACTCCCGCAACCCTTCCAGAGTGTGTCCCTCACTGATACCAACGGGAGTTTTTGCTGCTGTGGGACTGCAAAACTGAGCCGAGGGAAACAATCAGGGGGAGCTAACAATATGAAAACCCATTTGTATGTAGGCACAAAAAATTGGGGAAGCAAAGGTGGCCTGTGGAGTGTAATGAAAAGGGGCAGCTCCTCTCCCTCTTCCGTGGCCTGCTCAGCTCAAGATGAAGCAATGCATGCTGGGAGTCCTAAAACCATCATTGGCCATACCCCATATTAAAAGTGATAGTAGCTGAATGGGATCGTTTTATACCAATTACAAGTAGATCTTCAGGCTCCTGACAAGTTGCTACTGTGACTGTTGGTTGGACAAAGTGTGAGCATCAGTAAAATCAGGGATGGAACATGGGCTAGAATCATGCTAGATGACTCTTGCATCGCTTGAGAGCAGCACTTTGATGTGAACCCTCTTTCATCGTCCAATAGAACCTGTTTGTGTGACAGCAGCATCCAGAAGCAGCAGCTGAGATCTTGGCCCCACGGTGCTAGAAGCTGTACAAACACACACTAGAGCAGTGGTCACCAACCAGTAGGTCGGGATCCTTTGACAGGTGATCCTGACAGGTTGGGCCAGGAGGCTGTGAAGTGCTGGCACTTCATCTGCCCTTCTATGCACTGTTGTATTGCTCCTGCCCTTTTGCCTTGGAGCTTCCCCCCCAACTTGAGGGGCCTCTTGCTTGCTGTGCAGGGCACAGGAAGAAGAGGAGGGGGTGCTGCTGGCAAGGTGCCCCTTCCGCCACCCCATCTCCACAGAGGGGGACGGGGGGTGGGCAGGGATGGAGAGAGTTCGCTGGCTGCTTTTGGGAGTGGTGCAGGGCCAGAGTAGGGGTGAGCCTGCCTTAGCTCCATTGCACCACCACCCCTAAGCCACCTGTGGTAAGTGGTGCCCAGCTGGAGCCCACATTCTGAACCATGGCTCCAGTACTGAACCCCTCCTGCACCCCAAGCCCCTGCGCAGATTTCTTTTCCGATGCGCTTTTGCAGTGTGGACACTCTCTTTCAGACAGGGCCGGACTGAGCCATTCCGGCGCCCCGGGCAGACAGGTTAATTGCGCCCTGGGTTGGGAGAGGGCGCATGTGCAGCCCCGCCCCCACACCGGTGTGTGGGGGAGGGCACGTGGAGCTGGAAGCGGCAGGACGCACATGCCCGGCCCAGCCCAGCCTGACTACCACTGCTGGCGCACAGCCTGGGGCTGCCTGGGTTGGGCTGAGCCCCGCGGCCGTGGGGAGGAAGGACGCTGCTGGCCAGCGCTGCGTGGGTTAACACGGCCCCGGCGGCCCGGGGAGGCTGCTGCAGCCCGCGATCCGGGAGCCGGGTGTGCGGTGCCTGATGGCAGCTATAAGGGGAGCCGCATGCCCCTTAGAGCTGCCATCAGGTGCCCCTCATAGGTTGGCACCCCAGGCAGTTGCCCGGTTAGCCCATGCCTTAATCCGGCCCTGCTTTCAGAAGATGTTTTTCCAGAAGATCTATTCTGGAAAAGATTCTTCCAAAAGAAGCCTGCAGTCTAGACATAGCCTCATTAATGGATCTCCAAGTCATAGTGTTGTTTCAGGCCAATTCCATAAGCCAAATACATAGGAAGGGACTGGAATTTCATTTACACGTTTAATTTTTATGCAAATGATAAGAACAGAGACATCCGCTGACTGGCACACTACCTTCCACATCCCAATGACTTAACCAACCAACCAACCCAACAATGGAGATGCTAATTGTTCTTATCAACCTCTTGTAACAGTCTGAACCATCTACTCACTTTCTCTCTCTTTTTTCTTTTCCCCTCCTTTTTCTTTCCCCCCCATTTTACTCTCGCTTTCCCTTATTTATTCTTGGATTTGGACTTCTGATACTCCAGTCATCTGAAGAAGTGGGTTGTGCCCATGAGAGCTCATGATAAGAACATAAGAACATAAGAACGGCCGTACCGGGTCAGACCAAAGCTCCATCTAGCCCAGTATCCTGTCTACCGACAGTGGCCAGCACCAGGTGCCCCAGAGAGGGTGGACCGAAGACAATGATCAAGCGATTTGTCTCCTGCCATCCTTCTCCAGCCTATGACATACAGAGGCCAAGGACACCATTTTATCCCCTGGCTAATAGCCTTTTATGGACCTAACCTCCATGAAATTATTTAGCTTCTCTTTAAACTCTATTATAGTCCTAGCCTTCACAGCCTCCTCTGGCAAGGAGTTCCACAGGTTGACTACACGCTGTGTGAAGAAGAACTTTCTTTTATTAGTTTTAAACCTGCTCCCCATTAATTTCATTTGGTGTCCTCTAGTTCTTCTATTTAGGGAACTAATAAATAACTTTTCTTTATCGGCCCTCTCCACACCACTAATGATTTTATAGACCTCTATCATATCCCCCCTCAGTCTCCTCTATTCTAAACTGAAAAGTTCCAGTCTCTTTAACCTCTCCTCATATGGGACCCGTTCCAAACCCCTAATCATACCATCTATATGTTTTGTTAGTCTTTAAGGTGCTACTAGTCTATTTGTTGTTTTTTAAGTTTTTTCTGTTACAGACTAACTCGGCTACCCCTCTGAAACTGATTTGATAGAGACAATCCCGATATTCAGGGCTTTATCTTATATAGGTGTCTACTACCTGCCAGCTCACCCTCATTTTTCATACATAGTACATCCTAAAAGACGCTCCCTGCCACACACATCTTACAATTTAAATAGACCCAGACAGAGCACAAGAGAGGCATTGGAGGCACAGAGGGAGAAATGACATGACCAAGGCCACCTAGCAGGTCAGTGGCTGAGTGAGGAATTGAACGCAGATCTCCTGCTGTGTTTATGCAGTAGTACCCAATACGAGCCTCCCCCCCCATCTTGTTTAGGGCCCTAAATGTGCTATTAATAAACAGCAACAGTAAGAATGACTGAAAATAGATGGTTCACACAAGGCTGATGCTTGATTTACCCCTAATTTAAGCCCTAATTGGGCTGACCAAATCCATGGGTAGTGGATATAAGGTACCGATGCACTCCACTTCTAGGGAGCTTCTGGCACCTTATGCCCAACCTCCCCAAATTCAGGAGTCGCCACTGCCCAGGACCAAATCTATAAAGTGTTGTTGCCCATAGCTCACACTGCCTGCAGTGGTACCTGAATTAAGGCTT